CACACGGAGATCCTATTTACTCTTTGTTGGTTTTTTTTTTTTTTTTTGAGTTGGAGTCTCACTCTGTCACTCAGACTAGAGTGCAGTGGCTGGGCGGCCACAGCAGCCTCGACCTGCTGGGCTCTGGTGATCCTTCCGCCTCAGCCTTTCAAGTAGCTGGAACTACAGGCGTGTACTACCTCACCCAGCTAATTTTTTATTTTTTGTAGAGATGAGGTCTCACCGAGTTGCCTAGGCGGGTCTTGAACCCACGGGCTCAGGAAATCCACTCACCTCAGCTTCCCAAAGCACTGGGATTACAGGCTGAGCCATTGAGCCCGGCTTCCCATTTACTCTTCACCCAATTTCTTCAGTGATACTTAGTTTTGCAAAAGTCCAAGATTACAACTGGACATTTATATTGCTGAAGTCAAGATACAGAGCAGTTTCATCATCGCAAGTATCCCTTATGTTACCCTACCCCCCATTCCTGATTCCTAGATATATGTTTCTGTGTGGGTATACATGCTTATTTTCTTGGGCAAATACATAGGATTAGAGTGATTGAGTTGTATGATAAATGTATGTTTCACTTTCTAAGGTACTGCTAAATTGTCTTTCCAGATGCTTAAACCATTTTGCATTCTCATCAACAATATATGAGAGTTGCAAGCACAAGCACTTGATTCTGTCAGTCTTTCTAAATACTGCCAGTCATTTAAAAATATTTGTCATTCTTTAAAATTTTTTTTAAAACTTTAATCATTCTCATGAATGTGTAATGGTATTTCACTATGGTTTTAATTTTTATTCCCTTGATGATTAGTGATATTGATCATCTTTTCATGTACTTTTTGGTCATTCACATATCTTCTTTTGTGAATTGTCTATTTAAAATTTTAGTTCTTTTTTATGAGGGGAAAGAGTCTGAGGGTTGTCTTTATATTATTGAATTGTTAAGAGTTCCACGCTAGTGAACACCCCACCAAAGTTTTTTTAATATAATCCGGATACAATCCCTTTTACAATGTGTCTTGTACAAATTTTTTCCCATTCCATAGCTTATATTAGGTTAGAAATCCTCGCTGGGGCCTCCAAAAATGTTAGGTTAAAATATATATACCAGCAGTGCCTCCAAATGTTAGGTCAGACCTGCCAGGGTGGGGTTGTGTGATTGGCGTCATGTGAGAAATGCAAAGAATTGCACAAAAGTTAGACTGAAAATACAGTTTATTTAGAAAGTGAGTGAGAGAGAGAGAGAGAGAGAGAGAGAGAGATTGATTGATTGAGAGTGATTCACCTCCCCAAGGTTGGGGAGGACCCAAAGTCAAGAAAACATGGCGGCCACAGCTCAAAGAGCACATGGCCAGACCATAGCTTAGCAGAGCAATGGAATGCTTTTAAATATCCCCCTCCGATGGGGGCAGGACGTTAAGGTGGTGGGGTGGTGGCGTGCTCTATGTCATCACAAAGGGCAGGTACATACAGGTACTGATGTCAGGTGATAGCAGGTAGATGGGTGAGTTAGTCACATGACAGTTGCCATGTTGATGGAGTCTGTGTCATGAAGGCTATGAAGAGCTGATTTGGTTAACTTGTTTAGGAAACAAGCTCAGAAGGGGCTGTAAAACACCTATCAATATCTACCTCTGAGAAATCTGTTCTGTCCTAGTGGATTAAAGGGTAACTGCTAGAAAAATATGACAAAGCTAAGCAGTGTTAAAATGACTGCTCATTGGGTATATTGACTCCATGTTATGTCCTTTCAGCTTGCTTTTATGCTTTCTTAACCATGTTTTTCATAGAGTGAAAGTTTTTCTTCATAAAGTCTATCTTATTTATTTAATTTTGGTAGTTTAGGCTTTTGGTGTTCTGTTAAAGAAATCTTTGTCCAGCCGGGCTTGGTGGCTCAGCCTGTAATCCCGTGCTTTGGGAGACTGAGGTGAGTGGATTGCCTGAGCCCGCGGGTTCGAGACCAGCCTGGGCAACTTGATGAGCCCTCATCTCTACAATAAATCAAAAATTAACCGGGCAAGGTAGCGCACGCCTGGAGTTCCAGCTACTTGGAAGGCTGAGGCGGAAAAATCGCCGGAGCCCAGCAGGTTGAGGCTGCGGTGGCCGGGAGCGGCCACTGCACTCCAGTCTGGGTGACAGAGTGAGACTCCAACTCAAAAAAAAAAACAAAAAAAGAAAGAAATCTTTGTCCAATACAATGCCATAAATATTTTCTCCTGTGTTTTCTTATAGAAATTAAATACACTTGTATTTAGGTGTTTAGTTCATTTTGAGTTAATTTTTGTATACAATAACAAGGTAAAGTACAGGGATTTTTTTAAATATATATAGATATCAGTTGTTTCTGTACTGTTTATCGATAAGTTTATTTTGTCTTTATTGGATTGCCTTGACACCTTTGTCAAAAGTCAGACTATATAATTGTGAGTCTATTTCTGCTGTCTATTCCAGGGGTCCTCAACCCCCAGACCATGGACTGGTAGGGCCTGTGATCTGATAGGAACTGGGTTGCAGAGCAGGAGATGAGGGGCTGACAAGTGAGCAAAGCTTCCTCTGTATTTACAGCTGCTCCCTGTTGCTTTCATTACCACCTGAGCTCTGCCTTCTGTCAGATCAGGAGCAGCATTAGATTTTCATAGGGGCACGAACCCTGTTGTGAACTGTGTATGCAAGGGTCACACGCTCCTTATGAGAATCTAATGCCTGATGATCTGAGGTAGAGCTAAGGAGATGATGCTATATATTTATATTTCATTATAAAATACACAATAAATGTGATGCAGTCGCCTCATCCTAAGCCTCCTCCCCATCCTGTCCATGGAAAAATTGTCTTTCATGAAATTGGTCCCTGATGCCAGAAAGGGTTGGAGACCACTACTCTATTCTGTTCCATTGATCTATATGTCTATTCTTATCCCAGTGGTAAACTGTCTATATAGTAAGTCTTGAAATCTTAAGCGCTCCAACTTTGTTTTTCTTTTTCTTTTTCTTTTTTTTTTTTTTCAGTTGGAGTCTCATTCAGTTACTCAGACTGGAGTGTAGTGGCTGCTTCCGGCCACGCAGCCTCCACCTGCTGGGCTCCAGCGATGCTTCCGCCTCAGCCTTCCAAGTAACTGGAACTACAGGCGCACGCTACCACGCCTGGTTAATTTTTGATTTATTAGAGATGAGGTCTTGCCAAGTTGCCCGCGGGCTCAGGCAGTCCACTCACCTAGGCTTCCCAAAGTGCTGGGATTACAGGCTGAGCCACTGAGCCCGGCCTTGTTTTTCTTTTTCAAAGGTGGTTTATCTAGTTCAGGTCCTTTGCCTTTCCATATAAACTTTAAGATCAACTCATCAGTTTCTTTTAAAAAGCTAACTTATTAGGATTTTGTTTGAGATAGCATTGAATCTATAATTTGGGGTAAGAATTGCTGTCTTAACACTATGGAGTTTTCTGATATATGAATATGATATATTTCTCTATTTATTCTGGTCTTAAAAATCAGTTTACCTTCTAAGTTGTTTTTTTTTTTTTTTTTTTTTTGAGTTGGAGTCTTACTCTGTCGCCCAGACTGGAGTGTGGTGGCATACTTCCAGCCATCGCATCCTCGACCTGCTGGGCTCCAGTGATCCTTCCACCTCAGCCTTCCAAGTAGTTGGAACTACAGGCGCGTGCTACCACACCCAGCTAATTTTTTTGATTTATTGTAGAGATGAGGTCTTGCCAAGTTGCCCAGGCGGATCTCGAACCTGTGGGCTCAGGCAATCCACTCACCTCAGCCTTCCAAAGGCACGGGATTACAGGCTGAGCCACCGAGCCTGACACCTTCTAAGTTTTGGAGAAAAAGTAGCTGAAATTTTGATTTCAGATTGCTTTGAATCTGTGGATCAGTGGGGATATTGCTGTCTTAATATTATTAAGTATTTCAGTTCAAGAACACAAGATATCTTTCCATTTATTTAGGTCTTTTAAAGCTTCTTTCAATTATATATAGTTTTCAATGTATAATTCATATACGTTTTTTGTTAAATCTATTCGAGTATTTTATTCATTTTGATGCTGTTATAAATGGATTTTTAAAAAAACTTGTATTTTCAGAATGTTCTTTGCTAGTGTGTCGAAATAGAATTAATTTTTGTATATTGATCCTGTATCCTACATCCTTGTTGAATTTATTTATTAGTGCTGATTGTTTTAGTTGATTCCTTAGAATTTTCTGGAGAAAATTCAGATCATGTCATCTACAAATAGAGGTAATTGTAATTCTTTTTTAATCTGGATGCC